AGTTAACGTCTATCTACTTTGAGAATAGATCTCTGCCATAGTTGCCGCCATATTGAAACAAATATTCTAGTTTGTGGAGTGGTTCTAATCAGTTTACATTGGCGTGCACGTAAAAGATCCCTTGGCAGTTGGAATTTTATATAAGAGTAGGCCGTAGCGCCGCTGCCCGGGCAAAATTTTCCTCATAGCGTGTACACTGCAGTGACGCGCAAGTACAAAATCCCTTGACAGTTGGAATTCGATATAAGAGTCGACCGTAGTGCCGCTGTCCGGGCAAAATTTTCCTCATAGCACACTGTATGGTGTATGCCCGTCTTCATTAGCCAAGTTTAGGAGCAGAACAGTAGGACGTTAAACCCCATTTCATTTCATTTTTACTTCTTTCATACACACAAAGACTAAATAAACATTATCTAGCAGAATAAACACTTCAGACAATTCTTGAAATATATCTAGTGTCTTCAACCAATATCGTCGATTTAGGAATTAAAATGTCGGCCAAAGCTTAGTGTATGCTCTCAAGCGGAGCTCTAATTGTAGACAGCTTGCGCAATTTTCGTATTCCTAGGTTCCTGGCAATATCGGGTTTTTTTAAAATCCAATTTGCACAGCTAGGGATTAAACTAAATGAACTTGTCTGTTATTGTGTTATGATTGAGCTATATATAGGTTAAACACGTGGATATCATTACAAGTAATTTTATCTATATTGTACATCTATTAACTACAATCCGGTTAATAGTCAATAACAATATTTGATCAAAATCTATTAAACCTACATCACCATCAAATATGTTTTATTATAACTACAAAAGAATGTCTCGCATAAAGGTATCAACACTATAATTCCTTGCTTTGTTCTATTAATTGGTTCGGGAACCAGAATTACTATTATACCGTAAAAAAATCATTGCATTTAACAGTAATATCAGTCGAACAATTAAATAATCATTACTGTAAAAGCTTTTCTGTTGATAAAATATTGAAAAGTACAAATCTACCGTAAACTTGTTTTGTGAATAATTCAAGTTCGTAACCACTGCTTTAAGGGAGAAGTCCAACTTTTCCGGGAAAATGGCCGTTTATGTAAGCAAATCGAACACCAAATTGTAGGCGCAAATAGGCAATTTAACTCGTCTGGACTGGGGTTTTCAGTGTAACTCGTCTGGACTAGGGTTTGCAGTTTAACTCGCCTGGACTGGGATTCTCAGTTTAACTCGTCTGGACTTGGATTCTCAGTTTAACTCGTCTGGACTTGGATTCTCAGTTTAACTCGTCTGGGCTTGGATTTCCAGTTTATGTCGTCTGGACTTGGATTTTCAGTTTAACTCGTCTGGACTGGGATTTTCAGTTTAACTCGTCTGGACTTGGATTTTCAGTTTAACTCGTCTGGGCACGGATTTTCAGTTTAACTCGTCTGAACTAGAAGTTTCAGTTTGACTCGCTTGATCTAGAAGTTTCAGTTCTAAATATTGAACCGTTTGGAAATGATCTCTAAAATAATTTATAGCGTTTAAACGATAAACGAGACTATTGGATGTCGCTTGGAAACGCGGCAATAACCTGCTTATCTTTTTACTCGAGCAAATTTTCGCAGGAAATTGTTACTACGCACCCGCCTGCTCAGGTCTAAATGTTAAGGCCACCTGTTGTTGTTCTTAGTGTTTAACGTCCGCTTCCAACGAGATATCGCACACAAGTTGTCTTTTTTTTTTTTCATTATCTTAGCGCGCGCAGGGGTTTTTCCTGTGGGAGGAAACCGGAGTACCCGGAGTAAACCCACGAGGTTGAGAAGGCACCCCAATCTCCAAGGGGAGAGAACTTATATAGGCATTTGCCTGTTGTTCAATCCAATTCAGTTTATTGAATGTAATATTGTTTAAACTATTTCCAAGCCACATACGCTCACACCAGGGATCGAAACCACAACCGCAAGCCAGAGGTGACCGGTCAGCTAGAGGTCAAAGCGTGACACTCTAGACCTCTAGACCACCCCCCCCCCCTCCTCCTCCAACGTCGCGAGAGTAAATAGGGCTAGGGCTACTGAACGTTGATAGCCTACTGCTTTTGATAACTTTACTATCAGAAAGGTTTAGATATTTGTTTCGACAAATAAAGGATTCTAAGAGCCTTCTACACATAATTAACCAATTTTATTCACTCTTTTAATGCAACCGTTTTAAACTGCTTTATTATACAACTACTGTTAGGGACTTCGAATCACATCTTTAAGATGTGATTCGGATGATTCAGTGGAAATCAGCTTTGCAAATACATGGCAATGTCGGTTGTAGTTTACATTATCCGTTTTATCAATGAATAAGATCAATACTTTACCTGATAGGTTTCCTATCACTTCTACGTGATCCAATTCCAAGGGGTATTCATTAGAATTCACAAAGTATTGGTCTTCTGTGGATCCAAAACAACTAATACAAGTGATTTGCTAATGAATTGAAATGTAATAAGGTTTTACTTTTCTGCGTTGATTAGGCTAATGAAGACTGACGTACGCCATACAGTTTGCTATGTTGGAAATTTTGCCCTTCGGCCTCTTAATTCCAACTCCACGGGACCGCAGTTTTTCGTCCCATACGAGCGACTATACGTTGTCCTTGTTAAGACCCTCCGCCATGCACCACTTGCAAGGAGAAAGGACATGTATCACCAACCAGAAATATATCTCTGTTTGAAGTTAGTCATAGTGTTGTTTAATATATTTAGCGTGGTGTATTATGTTCCGGAGTCTGCGTGCATTTGTGTCAAAAACGGGGCTTGAGTACTCATGTTTAAAAACTAAGGTATATTATAGTAATGGTTTCCACACCATCGCCTCTAGTCATAATAACTGTAGCATGCAAAAAAACAGGCCTCCATTATATCGTCTAGCATTGTTGGCAAACTTTTGTGCGAAACTTTAAAAAGTGGCAAGTCGTAATTCTTTATTTTACCCTTTTTATGAATAGATTAATTCTAGAGACAATATTTGGAATTTTTAACCCAATATTTACGTTTCGTCTGACATGTTATGTTTATAAACTCGGGTTTTATTCATTTTGAGAGAATATTTTAAATACAGCCAGACGTAGACGGAATAATACAGCGTTTGATACCTCCGGTTCCAAGATTTGTCGCGACCCAGAGACTGATGTCAGTAATGGTAGTCTGTCAGATTCGGCATACAGGAATAAAAATATAGTTTAGGTCGTTAAAATCCATATTAATATACATAATTAATTAATCTTTTACATTCTTTAAAACAATTCTGTGTCGTTACATCGCATATGTTAGATTTTATCGAGGGTTTTTATGTGTCTGCTAGACGTGGCATGTTATGTTTATTAAGTCTAAGATTATAGTAATTTTTATAGAATGTTTTAAATACAGCCAGACCTTGAATATATGACATTATTTTCTTAGTAAATTTTGTATTTAAATTCGGTTTTTTAAAATCAATATCTGCAAGATATCGAGGTTTTAAAAAAAAGCAATTGATGAATGGTTTTATTTGTACGGGTACCTGGAATGGTGAAGTCGTTTAAAGATATAATGATATAACCAGAGTTATCCCAGTAGTTGTAAATTGTTATAAAAGATTGTCTCCAGTCCTTCTGTAATATCAATAGTTCTTTTTCTTGTAGTTTTGTTTAAATCTAGTTTCTCATTTAAAGATACATTATGGAAGATTTAGATAAGGGAGAGAGAGAGAGAAATGGGGTTTAACGTCCACTCGACACAAACTGGGTCATTTCGGGACTAACATATGGTTTAATTTTATTTCAATAATTCACTTGCGCGTAGGGGTCTTTAGCAGTGGGAGGAAACCGGAGGACCCGGGGAAAACCCACGAAATTGGACAGGCGACCCTACTCCTTGTCACGTACAACCGGGGATTGGAAACCACACCAGTTGACTCAATGATAGGCCGTATGATACAGCACGCATGTGCTAACCATTTGGCCACCCAACACCCCCACATAGATAAGGAGCTGACCGTTCTTTCCATATGAATTCAAAAATACATAATTCAAAAATGAATACATGTATATTGAAAATTTCATTCAAATTACTTCATTCTGAGCCAAGTTATCACTGTTTGTAGTTTTGGTAAGATGTGTGCATTGATTGTTTATTATGGTAACCACCCTACTAGAATATTTAAGACTTAGCCTCATTTCTCCATTTTTAAATTAAATCATTAAATGGCCAAAACGTTCTAATCTACTTATGTCATGTTAATAAATGTCCAATTAATAAATTATATAACATTTAATGCCTAAAGAAAGACCTGCGATAGGCAAATTTAGCTCTTGAATAATGTATTCTTAACTGTACTTTGTTAAGGACTGAAGCATTTTTCTGCAAATGGCCTTTCCTTAATAGAACCGATCCTGTTGAAATTATGTCATTGGCTGATTATATTGTGACGGACAGATTAAGCACTTTGGTTGCTAATTGCAAACAGCTGCTGATGAAAGTGGTCTCTTGTCAGTCATTATGGAAAATTCTGCCAAACATCTGATCAAATTAGTATAATGTTGTGAGATAAATAGACCCCATTCTAGCTTAAAGATACATTATGGGAGATGAGATAAAGAGCTGGCAGTTCTCACTATAATAGTTAAAAACTAGATAATGTAAAGTGAATTTAGCGATTGAATTTTCGGCTTAGCCTGGATCATCATTACTAAAGTCTGTACGATAAAAAGACATATCTCGATTATCCATATTATGATTAAACCATGAATGGAATTCGAACAGCAAATCGGAACCAAATCCAATAAACATCGCAGGCTAGCGATGACATCGAGAGTTGATTATGGTCTTGATAAATTAATTAATGTCTAATTAATAATTAAGATAAAATTTCAGGCCTAAAGAAAGACCTACAATAGGCAGATTTAGCTCTTGCATAATGTATGTTTAACCCATCCTGACTTTTTACAAACATTATTTTTGGTAAGTTATTTGAAAATTTTAATCTGAATTAACAATTTGGGTTAACAATCTTAAAAAACATTCTTTATTATTCCTGATCAAAAATAGTACAGAAATGTTCATTTAAAGAAATCTGTTCCAATTAATTCTTCAGGAAAATAGTCTTGCTCTACAGGGTTTTTAAATGCTGGATTATATTTATAGCCTTTACCATAACCTGAAAGAAAAAACATCCAGACTGGAGAAAATGGTAAATCAATTATCTTTGACTTGATAATTTTATTTTGATATGGTGATGCTATTATTCTCATCTGACCCAAAACAAAATTAGTATCAAATCTATTTTTGTTAACTTGCCAATAGATGAAATAAATGATTTATTCTAATCAACCTATTTAGATTTTTTTTTTTTTTTTTTTTTTAAGATCCTATTAGAAAAAACGATTGCTAAGATATGGCTACAATCTGAAGGTGATCTTATCATTTTTTCATAATACAGATTTTTTCTCATTAGTTTTGTTTAAAAATATAACGTTAGGAATAATCACATTCAAGGATATTCTAAATTTAACTAATCTAATCTAATTTAACCCATTTATTGATCATTATTATAATAAAACAAGATACTCCTTTTAAAGGAAATCAGAGAGGGAGAGCAATCGGGTTTAACTTCCACTCGACTCAAACTAGGCCATTTCGGGACTAACATATGGTTCAATTTTATTTCAATAATTGACATGCATGTAGGGGTCTTTAGCAGTGGGAGGAAACTGGAAATGAAATGAAATGGGGTTTAACGTCCTACTGTTCTGCTCCTATACTGGGCTGATGAAGACGGGCATACGCCATACAGTGTGCTATGAGGGAAATTTTGCCCGGGCAGCGGCACTATCGCCTACTCTTATATTGAATTCCAACTGCCAGGGGATCTTTTACGAGCATTCCAATATATACACGGGACCTCGGTTTTCCGTCTCATCCGAAGGACTAGACAGCTGTCCTTGTCAGGCCCTCCGTCCTGCATCACTGATAAGGGGGAACCACGCCGAAAAATAGGAAACTGGAGGACCCGGGAAAACCCATAAGGTTTGACAAGCGACCCTACTCCTTGTAGGAATGAAATCGAAACGCCACTTGACTCAATGACAGACCCAATGATTTCATGCGCACATGTTACCCCCCCCCCCCCCAAACAGAGTGTTTACGTTTAACATCCTACATATTCTGCATCAACCAACAGGTTTTTTCTAGATGGGCATACACCATGCTGTGATATATGAGGTACATTTTGCCCAGACAGCGGCACTACAACCTTCTCTTATTTTGAATTCCAACTGTAAAGGGCTCTTTTATATGGATGCCAACATGTACACATGTAGACACTATTCCTCTATCTAGGCTCTATCTAGTTATTCCTATTTTAAAGGCACTCACTAAGATAATGTTTATTGTCAGAATTGTGATAGTTTTTAGTTCTTATTCTCCTGTAATAGTTTGCCGTTTAGACTGTATGTATTATTGTCATTTGAGGGATCCATTTCTTTCAAAACAAAATTATTAACGGTAGATAATTTCACGACTTGGGCTTAAAGCGAGAAAATCATATATTCTAAGAAATTCAAAACATAATTATTTCTATGTCTTTTGCTCAATAGGTTGTCAACTCACTATTATACGGTCATAGTTATCATTCTCACACTCAAAACTGTTTCACACCGGAAATAATAACACAATTACCTCCTAATTACCTCCCTTGTTTTCCTATTCCCCACCATGGAATAGCTATCTTCAAACGTTTGAATTTGAAAATGATATTTTTGCCAATTTCTCAACTGGTAATAGTGAATTATAGGATTAAGGTAGGACTGTTTATACATAGCATCGATTTTAAGGCTTTATTTTAATACATTTTAAAAATATAACTTAAAAATATGAAATTGTAGCTTTAACTAGATTAAAAAGAGGGCCATCAAAGAGTTTTATTAGTGGCACTGGTATGTTTATATCATCTGCAGTTGTAATTTTTTTCAACTCATCATATCGTAAATACTGCATTTTTGGATTAATATTCCTTTTAAAAATTCAACTTTCAATTGAAATATATTAATACTTTAGCCTATATGGGAGCCACGGTGGCTCAGTGAGTAAGACCTTGACTCGCTAACCTGGAGTTCCCATGTTCGATCCCTGTGTTGGCTGAGTATATTCATCAAGATTTACTGGCATGGTACTTCCTTGATAGTAATGCAGGACCAAGGGCTTGGCAAGAGTCAACAGATAGTCCTTCGGTTGGTACAAATAAACAAAAAGTCCTGTGTACACAATGGTGTGCAATTGAAAGATCCCTTGGCAGTTGGAATGCAATATAAGAGTAGGCTGTAGTGCCGCTGTCTGGGCAAAATTTCCCATACAGCACACTGTATGGCATATGCCTGTCTTCATTAGCCATTTTTAGGCTATACAAATGTAAAATCATTACCTAAATTTTTCATTAATTTTGTTGGAGCATTGCGTAGATGTAAAGGCACACCAGGTAGAGGACCATCATGTTCTTTAATCTTTCTCTTAGCTTTATTATAGGCTTCGTAGATTTCTACTGATTTAGGTGCTCTAGCCATATATACGACACACTGAGCCAAAATAACCTACAAGATCATTAATACAACTGTTAAATAACCTACAAGATCATTAATACAACTGTTAAATAACCTACAAGATCATTAATACAACTGTTAAATAACCTACAAGATCATTAATACAACTGTTAAAAAAGAGAGAGAGAGAAATAGGGTTTAAAGAAGCTAAATCGCTAATATTTGGGACCTAGAAATTGACACAAATGGGTCGCAATGCACATAATAATGTAATATGAATGAATATAAACTGATTTACATTCAATCGTTTCTGTTTTTAGTCTAATGTTCTGCAAAATACATGAGAAGTCTCAATCGAATGGCAATTTCTAGTGTCTGTTTATTCCAGTCTACACTGATGGTATTTATTGCACATGCTCTGCAGATAAGAATATGAGTCACTGTTTGACGTCTAGCCTCCTTTTTCGAGTCCCTTGTTACAAATGGCGCTGAAACGCATTATGGTACATGATTCGTGTACCAATGGTAAAATGTTTATTTTGTCTTAAATATTGAATATCAGAAGCCTAACTTTTCCTGGTAAGATCACAACATCAATGTTAATTTATATTGACAAATAATTTGTGCTTTCAATGTCGAAGACTTTGGATGATATTGAGTTTAGAAACTTAGCTACTTTAAAGTCCACTCCATACAAAACAAACTAGGTCATTTCGAAACTAACATAGAATGGTAGAATTATATTTGAAAAATTTGTTGGCACGTTGGGATCTTTAATAGTGGGAGGAAACCAGACAAGGCTTGGATCGAAACTATACCACTTGACTCAATGACAGACATTATGATCTAAAGTGCACGCTATAGACTATATGACTGCCCACCAACAAACTGCTAAAAAATACAATAGAAAACTTATGTAAAGAATTAATAAATTTGAAAAAAATCTGAAGAAATTAATTAACTTGATAATGATGATGCCTAAGAGTTACTGGTGATATCACATAACAGAATAAAACCACAGGTTTATTATACATATAGCACACAGCTTCTTCCAATCTGATTAAAATACAGATCTAAATATCTTTCATATTTTTATACTTTCGATGGTCTCTACTACATGAAGATCTGACCAGTTGTAGTGGAAGGTCATGTCAGGGGTCATACGAGCGGCATTTGACCCTATGACATCAGACATTTGATCAACCAATCAGTGTTGATGTTTCTGGTGGAATACCCACAGTTCTGTGTATCGCACGCCAAGAACTCACCGCAACAGACCGTTTCATTGGCTAATTCCTCACATCAACCAGAACACAGGTTATACAACAACTAGTGTAGTAAAGAAAAGTAAAACGAAATTTTGAACTATAAATAAAGAAACTAAATTGTCTTTGTGATTTTACAAACAGATAAAAAAAGAAATAATTTACCTCACATTCTGGCATTCCAATTAAATGACAAGCTTGATAAGCTGCAACAGCTTGATTTAAAGCTAAAGGATCGGCTAAACCTGTTAATAAACAAGTAGAATACATGTGGCAGAATCTACTTTAGTTTTAAGCAAAAGAGAGAGAAATGGGGTTTAACATCCACTTAACACAAACATGACACAATTATATTTCAATAATTTGCTTGCGCATAGGAGACTTTACCTGTGGCAGGAAACCGGAGGACCCGAAGAAAACAGGCCTTGTCACATACAAGCGGGGAATCAAAACAATACCACTTGACTCAGTGATGGTTCATGTGATCTTACACACATTAAACTATTCGGCCACCCAATCCCCTAGTTTCAAGCAAGGCAAGGTCAGATAATATCTTGACCTGGATGTTCTTGGATAGAAATAAATTATTCTTCATAGCTGACTGATGTTCTAAGACAGAAAATGAACTGAAACTGATGGGAAATTGAGATGGCCATAACTTACATTGGGACATGAGAGGACATCATGGGACAAGCAATAGGCAGAGAGAAGACACGAGAAGACATCAAGTGACAAGAAATAGGCAGAGAGGAGACATGAGAGGACATCAAGAAACAAGAAACAGGTCAGAGAGGAGACATGAGAGGACATCAAGAAACAAGAAACAGGTCAGAGAAGAGACATGAGAGGACATCATGGAACAAGAAGTAGGCTGAAAAGAGACAGAGTGATATTTGACTTACAGTAATCTACAGCAAGAACCAGGAGATGAAAATGGCACTGCCAAGGACCACCCACCGTCATACCTGCCATCAAATTGTTTATATTTAGACTATGGGAGTTTAAATAATTACACAGAATCCATCTGTTTGTTTTTAAAGGAGAGTTTTGATTTTGAACAGACTGAACACCACAAATTATCTTACCTATATCTTCACTGGCACATCTGACTAAACGTCTAGATACATAAAGTGGATTCTCCCCTCCTTCTAACATCCTCGCCAACCAGTAGAGGGAGGCACTAGCATCTGATCCACGAATAGATTTATGTAAAGCTGAGACAATGTTATAATGTTCTTCACCTATACAACATAAATATACAATTCAAAAATATCTGGCAAGCACTATTTGGTTGATAAATAAACCAAAGGAATTTTGTACATTCTCAAAACGTGCTACTATAAATATTTTCAAGAGAAGAGATTGGAGTTATTTTGAATCCCTACCAAATACAAGATTTTGAATGTTGGATCTCTAGAAGGAATATCAGTCCAAAGATAAGGTTGACCGACACAAACACTTTGGGACTCACAAATGGTTCAATTTTATTTCAATAATTTGCTTATGCGTAGGGGTCTTTAGCATTGGAAGAAAACCGGAGAACCTGTAGAAAACCCACGAGGTTGGACAGACGACCCTACTCCTTGTCATGTACAAACGTGGAATCAAAACCACCCCAGTTGACTCAGAGACAAGTTCTTATAATGCAGCGCGCACTCGTTAACCATTCAGCCATCAAACCCACCACAAAGTTAAGACAAATTTAATAAAAGAACAGAATTTTGTGCAGTCTAAAGGAGATTAATTCCATCATAAACATTTTCATGTGGTGTAATGAATTAGTGATTTTCACCAACCATTTCAAACCATTACATTCTTTTGGAATATCAAATTCAGATAATTTTGAACATCGCAAATTTTTTAATAAACATTTGGGAATGCATGAACAAATACGAGTGTGCAAGGGGGAATAACTCTGTCAATGAACTTCAGAAATTAAATATTTACCAGTTTTGTCATAAAGAACATGAGATCTTTGTAAACCATCTTTAATATGCTCTGTGGTTACCATAGCAACATTGTCAAAACCGTTTTTCTGTGTATTTTTTTGTTTGGAGGAAGAATTTTTAAGAGCAGCAATTCTGGATTCAACGGCCATTTGTAAACTATTTAAAGCTGCTCTTGCATCACCATCACAGAGATTAGCTAATACACCGATAGCTTGCTCCTCTACCCATACAACTGGCTCTAAACTGTGAAGAGAGAGAGAGAGAGAGAGAAATCAGGTTAAACGTCCACTTAACACAAAATAGGTCACTTCGGGACAAACATATGGTTCAATTTTATTTCAATAATTCGCTTGCGCGTAGGGGTCTTTAGCAGTGGGAGGAAACCGGAGGACCCGGAGAAAACCCACGAGGATGGACAAGCGACCCTACTCCTTGTCACTAAACTGCAAAGAGAACAAAGTTATTTAATAATTTAATAAAGACATGCATGTATATGTGCATGAAATTTGAAGTCATTGCTGTTAACTTTAATTACCGGTAAACACATTATGCAAGAGCTTAATCTGTCCATTGCAGGTCTTTCTTTAGGCCTTAAATGTTATATAAACTATATTAATAAGACATTTAAGTAATAAGTAGATTAGAACAGTTCAATCATTTAATATTTCATTTAAAATTGTGAAGTGAGTCTAAGCTTCGAACAATCAGTACAATGGTTACAGTCAGTGCACACATCTGGTCAAACCTTCAAAGACTAATATCTTCGCCCAGAGTAAAGTAATTTGAATGAAATTTTCAATATACTCAATTTGCATTATCTATTTTTGAACTATTATAGAAAAAACAGCCAGTTCTAAATCTTACATAACATATCTGTAATGAAAGGTTTATCTTATCGTTTTTCACATGTCTAAGTACTGGGCGTCTTGGGGCAAAAATCAAGGGAGTCCACACGTCACTGAATACAGTCCATACAAACCTATTACTAGCTGTATTATTTTCAATATCGTCTGGCGTTTCATATATCTTTGCTCCTAGTTCTGATAAAGCTCTGGTTATAATCATCTTTAAGGCGTCTGCTGAAAGCTTTTCTAAAACTATAACACGACATCTACTGAGTAAAGCACTATTTACTTGAAACGATGGATTTTCTGTTGTTGCACCAATCAGATTAATTGTACCATCTTCAACATGAGGTAGTAATGTATCCTAACACAGAGAGAGAGAAAGAGAAAAATAGGGTTTAACATCCACTCTCAACACAAACTAGATGTGTAAGGGTCTTTAGCAGTGGAGGAAACAGGAGGATCGGGAGAAAACCCTTGAGGTTGGCCACCCAACCCCTCCCATCTTAAAACGGAATATTTATGCTTGATAGATATAAATAACAACAGAAATGATATTATTATTATTGTTCGATTTATATAGTGCTTCATTACACATGAGTGTTTCTAAGCACATTCACAACACAACAGTTCAAAAACATTTTTGAAATAAATATGTTTTTAAGACAGCCTTAAAGCTCTGGATGGAAGAGGACTCTCGAAGAGTTTTTGGAAGATCATTCCACATTTTGGCTGCTCTGATTGAGCAAGCATATTCACTAGAACGTTTATAATATTTAGGAATCCTCAAAATGCTACGATCACTTGAAGAACGAAGTTTGGATCGCCGGGGAGTATAGAAATCAAAGAAAATGTGAACGGCACACTAAGAAAATGCAAAAAACCATGTGATCCCAATAGAGTATTTACTGATGTCTACTGGTAAGTTCATAGCTGTGTTTTTCTTTATTTAATTTGAGTCATTCTATGTGTCTATGACTAGTCTGTGTCTACGTTTTTATGCTGGCTATGACTTGTCATGTTTTTATTTTTAAAAATTCAAATATTTTTCATATATATTTAGCCAGATGTGCCGCTATTTTTTCATGTGTTCCAAGGTGTGCCGTTGAGAACCACTGCTGTAGACCACCCCAATCCTCCCCACTAGCCTATCCTTATATTTATATATACCTGTTGAGATTTATTAAATCTGTGAATTTCATCTAAAAATAACATAGTCTTTCGTCTCAACAATTTCTGGTCGTTTTTGGCCACTTTGATGACTTCTTTAACATCATTGACACCAGAAGTTGTAGCTGAAAGTTGAACAAATTTAGCACTTCCTTCATTTTTACATCTTGCTGCTATGATACGAGCCAGGGTTGTCTGAAATGATATAGAAAAGTTATCTTTTTAACTGAAAGTGTATTTGTTTACTTAAGTTAAGAGAACCGATGATTCATTGGCTGAAAACAAAAATCATAGCAGGAGTTCTCTTGTCCAATGAAAAGGCTGCATTCTTACAATTTTCAATTTTCAGTTTTCTTGAAGAACACAAACGAAGGAGAGAGGGAGAAATGGGGTTCAACGTCCACTCGACACAAACTAGGTCATTTCAGGACTAACATATGGTTTAATTTTATTTCAATAATTCGCTTGCGCGCAGGGGTCTTTAGCAGTGGGAGGAAACCGGAGGACCCGGAGAAAACCCACGAGGTTGGACAGGCAACCCTACTCCTTGCCACGTACAACCGGGGATTCGAAACCATGCCAGTCGACTCAATGACAGACTTTATGATACAGCGCGCGCACGCTAACCATTCAGCCATTCAACCCCCCAACACAAAAGAGAGAAAATAGTTTCCAAGAATCATTATCCCTTCTAACATGATTAAAAGTGACAATACATGTAGCTTATGTAAGTCGAAATATTTTGCCTAAATTGAGCAGTCTTAGTAATCTTTTATGCCTTATCTTCGGTCTACCATCAAGCCACGATGGCTTGTTGACCACCTTGAATGCTAACATATTCACATTAATTTAGAAATTTTAGCAATTTAAGCTGTTATATAAAACAATCCTAAAGAACAGGAGCGGATCCGGAGGGGTGGGGGGTGCACCCGGCGCATGCCCCCACCTATTTTTTGCAGTGGCGAATAATTTTTTACCCCATATATTCTCGCGGGAAAGGAATTAACAGTCAGTTTAGGTTGGAAATCATAATTTACTCCGAAACGAGTCGGTTGGTTACTTGGTTGATTGCCCCTCAGTCTGCCCACTGGGGGCTGGGATTCGCACTCACAAGTGGGGACAGCACCCCCCCCACCCTTTCTGAAAATCCTGGATCCGCCCCTGAAGAATGTTATTATGTTGAAAATAGTCTATTATTCGGAATGTTAATAATTACCTTTCCACAACCAGGTGGTCCCCATAATATCATAGATGGAATATGATCACTTCGTAACAATGAATGCAACAGACTTTTCTCTCCTACAGCCTTATCTTGACCAACATAATTTTCCAGCGTTAATGGTCGCATTTGTTCTGCCAGGGGAGAAAACTCACTTTTAGCAGATTTAACAGAGGAGTTAGTTTTCTTTTGGAAAAATGGATTTTGTGATTTAGATGGATGAGATGAAACATTATTGTCATCAGATTTGTTTGAAGTTGAAAAGAATGTTTTTTGTCGATTTTGAAAATTTGATGTGTTGGATAAAAAAGTTTTAGTTTGATTTTGAAGTTCTCCTTTTGATTCATTGCTGCTGCTGTCTTCATCTACCAAAATGGGAGAAGCTGGTTTTCTTTGAGTTGAACTTTTCTGAAGAGTTTTATGTCGTTTGACATTTTCAGGGCTAACTCTACTTTCGTTTTCCCCTGCGCTACTGCTCGCTTTTAAACATCCCCATGCTGCATTTGGGTTCATTTCAGTGGATTTTCGTTTTTTGTTCGGTTGAGTAATAACACAGGCATCATCACCGTCATTCAAACAATCGTTGACATGTTGATTTATTGTCGATATATCGAACGATCGACCACAAATCGGACATTCTGAAGTTTTGCTTTCTCTTGACTCCATCTTTCTTTTTAACTTCGTAGTCTCCTTCTTCCAGTCCTAAAATCATCAATTCATATATCACAATGTCGGATAAGCAAGACTACACCGATGATTAAAGCATCTTGTGGTCAATGGGGAACAACTCTATTTAATAGACATCGTCTTTAACCATACCTTTCTCTATGACCACAATGGTTTAGATTAATAATATCTAAACTCTTTTATTATTCTACCACATGAACCAATATAAAATCATGCCATATAAATCTAAATTATAGCCCAATACTTTCTCTAATGATTTATAATTTTTATCACCCTCAATCTAATAAATGAAATAAAATGAGGTTTAACGGCCTACTGTTTTGGTCCTTAATCTAATAAATATTTACTGATTATCATGTACGGTATATTTATATTGATCCATTGATCAGTGTAGTCCATAAAATAAACTTGCAGTTTTCCCCCAAATATGCAATGATCAACCTCAATTTGTGCAGTGATCATCCTTATTTTGTGCAGGTGTGAAATGCACTATCGAATACCATAATTGTTCAAAGTGTAGGGTAGGCATTGTTACAGAAATATTTGTTCTATTTTTTAAATATTTGTTCAAATGATAATCAAGTGTAATCTACAACTGGAAGCAGCACAAAAATAAGATTTATATGATAAAACTAATCACAATCATAATCATGTCATACAGTAGGAGCTATGAGGGAAATTTTTCCCAGACAAGGGTTCTCTTATGTACATGGGACCTCAGGTTTTTCATCCCAGACTAGAACTTATTCCCTACCAGGCCCTCTGTCCTACAACTGCTGACTTGCAAAAACCACACTAGAACATCCTGAGAAACTTTCATGACCAGATTTCTAGTTAATGAGCCGTACTCACTGAGCCACCATGGCTTCTAATGGGTGAAGGAACTTTATAAAGCCTATAATAGGTCCTAGGGCCAACAACTTTTCGTTGGGACCAAAGTGTTTCCCCAATCAAGACTGTTGATCAGAACTAGATGAATTAGGAACAATAAATACCATTTAAAAGTAGCAAACTTTATTTTTAAAGTAAGAACACATTTATTTATGAAATAAGAAGACGTTTCAGCCATACAATATAACAATTTAATATAATACACAACAAGACAGCACCATTCAATTCGTCACTTATAGAGTTTTTATGCTTAGAATGTAAGGCTCATTACTAAAATATATTTTAGTAACACAATTAATACATTGGCCAATTGATCTATGTTGGAATAAAATGGACTTGATGAGTTCAAACTGATTGCACTGCACAGTTATTCACTACAATTGATTATTTAATCAATCAGATTTTTTTAGGCTTGTTGTTGTTGTCATTTGAGGGCATGATGCCCTCCCATCCATGAGGTTCTATTTTATCTTTGACACCATGGGGTGGGGGACCAATCAGAACTTCAACTTCATCATAGGTCAGAACTTCTTTTTCTAATAACTTTTTAGCCATCTGAAAATAAAATAATGTTGTGAAATTTTAAATTGAACTGAACTATTTAATGTCATATCCAATATGGCTGCCATATCTCTAAACCCAACAAGGTCATTTCGGTACTAATATATGGTTCAAGTTTATTTCAATAATTCGCTTGCGCATGGGGGTCTATAGCAGTAGGAGGAAACCGGTGGACCTGTAGAAAACCCAAAGGCAGGACAGGCAACCCTACTCCTTGGCTCAAATCAAAACCACACCATTTGACTCAATGACAGCAGACTTTATGATCCAGCCACCCACCGTCAGCCAACCTGAGTACTTACTAAATGTAATTTATCTGTGTTTTTCTGTAGAATTCCTTCTGTTTGACGATAAGCTCTACTGACTAATATCTGAACTTGCTATATGAAAATAAAAAAAGACAAGATTATTATACAACAAAAAACCTTTAGGACACATCAATTTGATTTCTTATTCTTTTGGAACACCTGCTAAAATTTAAGCTCCCTATTTTGTAATTTAAAAACAAAAATTACTTGATTGCTCTGCTTAGAACCAGTACTTCAATTCATTTATCAGGAAACGGAAGAACCAACAATTAATTTCCTTTGACCTTACAGAGAGAGGGAGAGAGAGAGAGAGAGAGAGTCTAAGGTCCACTTGAGACAAACAAGGTGATTTCGGGACTAACACATGGTTCAATTTTATTTCAATAATTTGCTTGTGTGTAGGGGTCTTTAGCAGTGGGAGGAAACCAGAGAACCTGGAGAAAACCCACGAGGTTGGACAGGCGACCCTACTTCTTGTCAAGACCAAACGTGGAATCAAAACCACACCAGTTAATGACAGACCTTATAATACAATGTGCAGTCGCTAACCATTCCGAGCTACCCCTATACACCAAATTAAAGTCTCGGGACAGCCCTAGTGTAGCTGCCAACCCTGAACAGACTGACAGACAGACAGACAAACGACAGTCACAAATATTAGTATAGATTCAGTATAAAATTATTTGATCAGCAGCCTGTTTCACTAAATTTTAACTTAAGATAAAATCCAAATTTTAGTAATTTGATTGGATAATATTAGATTGATTTTAGTGCTTAGCCAATCAAAATTGAAGTATCTAGTAAAATTTGGATTTTATCTTTAGTTAATATTTCGAGAAACAGGACCTAGTCCATCTGTAAACACCATTTGGCAATTTGTAAATGAATTAAAGACTTAAATTTCTAAATTACCTCATCTATGATGGCAGCTAATTTTCTACTGAAGGGTTTGGGTCCTGGTTCTTCCCCCTGACGCGGGAAAGATATCGGTCCAACGACCTTATTCATCCCAAAAGAGCGTACTTGATCGTAAGCCATTTGCGTAACTTTCTTCAAATCATCTTGTGCCCCTGAAATAGAGAAAGAGAGAGAGAAATGAGGTTTCACATCCACTCCTCACAAACTAGGTCATTTCATTTTATTTCAATAATTCGCTTGCACATAGGATTTTTTAGCCGGAGGAAACTCACAAGGTTGGACAGACGATCCTACTCGTTGTCACGTACAAGTGGGAAATAGATGACAGACCATATGATCCATCGTGCACGTGAGAACCATTCAGCCACCCACCCCCCTGCCCATAAAATAAATTAGAGAGAGAGAAACATGGTTTACACAGGTTATTTTGGGACTAACATATCATACATCATTGATGAAACAAGCATATGACTCTTTGACTCAATGATAGACCTTATGATCTAAATTGCATGTGTTAGATCACCCACACCAACCCACACCCAAAATACGATAAAACAAGCCAACACAGAGGTCTCATCCAAAAATAGATGTCACTCTCACATTTATCTTTTTATAAAGCACCAAACAATCAAATTACCGATCTCTACTTAACTTAAACAGAAAATATTCATAACCGAACTTAGTCAAGATATTGATATAATAAAACTATACACCACCAAGTATCCTCACTTTCACCAAATTAGAATCAATGTTATTTTATTCCAAGATTTCATTCAATCCAACTGCTTAACTCTGATTGCTGCAGCATGAAACACTCCTTAGCTTTAGCATGAAATGCTTTTGAAACTCAGTCAACTAGGCTTGTCTAGTCTTTATCCAGCAGTTCAGAAATTTTGATCCATAGAATTGTGTCCTATGTAATTCCTGTTTAATTAGTAAATGTTATTGAAACAATTTAGCTGCTTCATTACTACCCGACACCCTCCCACAATATTTGAGGCAGATGACCTTACACCTCATCACATACAATCCATAAAATGAAATGAAATAGTACAGTGTGCTATGAGGGAAATTTTGCCTGGACAGTAGAGCTTTGGCCTACTATTATATCGAATTCCAACTGCCAGGGAATCTTTCGTGTACTGAGGACCTTGGTTTTTTTTTTGTGTCCAATCCAAAGGACTATACATTGTTACAGCAGTAACAAAGGGGGAACCATGCTGGGAAATCCCTATGAACTTTATCAACCAATGCGGGGATCGAACCCACAGCCTCTAGGTTTGTGAGCCACAATGGCTACTTCATTCATAAACCATACCACCATCCTCCTCTCCTGTCGTTGTAATTACCTGTTGTCACATGATTAAATATAACGGCCTCTGCTGCTCTACCACCTAAAGCCATACACATTCTTTCAAATAACTGAAAATATAATATACATATATTTAATGGTGCTAGACACGAAATTCTCTATATCTTTAGCCAGACGTTTACTACCCTGTGACATTATATGACACAAAAGTTGTAGAGTTTAATTTTCCTTTAGAGGCATTTAGTAACTGGATAAAGTAATAAACTATAACACATACTTATGTAAGAACAATTACTAATTGATTTGGTGGATGTTTCAAAGAGTATTCTCTCAACGTTTTCAATCAAGTACAGTTACAAATGTGTAGGGCAATCATATATAGACAAGCAATAACAACAAATTATAAACCATGCATAACAACAAATAATTTACAACGCCCCTCCCTCCTCCACCTCTAATCAGAATAGCAGAATGAGACTTAGTATACTTGCGACTATACAGTAAAATTAAAATACAGATCTATATTTCGTTTTGTTTTTTTATACTTTCAACGGCCTACACTACACGAAGATCTGACCGGTTGTAGCGATAGGTCACGTAAGAGGTCATACGTGCGGCTTTTGACCCTATGACATCAGACATTTGATTAACTAATCAGCATTGATGTTACTAGTGGATTACCCACAGTTCCGTACAAAACATGGCTAAAACTCGCCGTAACAGACTGTTTCATTGGCTAATCCCTCACACCATTCAGAACACGTCAATGATAACTCTTCCAGATCCTAGTGTAGTAAAGACAAGTAAAACAAAATTTTGAACTATAAAAACGAAACAAAATAGGATCTGTGTTTTGATCAGATTGGTGACTATAGTGATCGGTAAGGAAAGCGTTAATTATAATATTGTAATATAAATGCTTACTTCTTCCTCGCTATATAATTTCTGATCTGAAGGTCTATACTGAGCAAATCCTAACATACTGTTAGTTCGAGGTACAATTGATATCTGCAAAGAAAATAAAAAAGAAATTGAACATAAACTGAAAGAGAAAACAATAATAGCCAAACTTACAGAAGTGTGATGATTTACCATTTCATTATTCGGCTGCAAGGGGGGTTGGGTGGCCGAAGTGGCATGATTTCAATTCCTCGCTTGTATAGACAAGGAGTAGGGTCGCCTGTCTAACCTCATGGGTTTTCTCCGGGTCCCCTGATTTCCTTCCACTGCTAAAGACCCTAATGCGCAAATGAAATTTTTAAAATAAAATTAAACCATATGTTAGTCCAGAAATGACCTAGTTTGTGTCGAGTGGACGTTAAACCCCATCTCTCTCCCTTACTTGGTTGCAAATATATCTAGAAATATGCTTATGGGGTTTAATCCTCTTATGACAATGATCTTCCAGTTGTCATCAGATGCTCTGTCAATAATGCAGGAATGATCCATAAATCGTCATTCAATTATCTACTGATCATGACCAGAATATGGAGAATGTACTAGATTCATTGTTGGAAATCTGCAAAAAGTTTTCTGCGAGTAACTGTCAGATATCCTTGAATGTACTTGAAACTCTTTCAGATAGGTGGCATAACAGCAGTGGCTTATAGATTGTTAACAAGGTTTTGTATATGAAGTTGAATAACTCTAATTAGTTAGAAGTTTAAATGTGGTTTAACGGCATACATTTCTGCACATCCAGGTTAATACAGACGGTTTTATGCCATGCAGTGGGCAATAAGAAAAATTCTGCCCGGACAGCAGCGCTACGATCTAATCTTATTTTGAATTCCAACTGTCAAGGGTTCTTTCATGAGCATGGCACTGTGTATCCGGGACCGTGGTTTTTTCATCCCATCTGAATGATTAGACACTGTTCCTTGCCAGACTCTCCATCCTGCACTAGTGACAAGAGGAAATCATGACGTAAAACAGAAATTTGAATGGAGTATGTTGTTACTTACTCTAAGTAAGGCATCAGTATGTTCTAACAACCAACCAACTAAAGCATGACCAGATTCATGATAAGCTACAACTTTCTTCTCATTTGGTGCCATTAGTCCTGACTTCTTCTCGGATCCTACAGATAAATAGCATGTAGTCAGCAGACATTTAATTAAACATACACAAACTAGGTCATTTTGGGACTAACATATAGTTCAATTTTATTTCTATAATTCGCTAGCTCATAGGGGTCTTTAGCAGTGGGAGGAAACTGGAGGAACCGGAGAAAACCCACGAGGCGGACAGACGACCCTGATCTTTGTCACGTACAATTGGGGAATCGAAACCACACTAGTTGACTCAATGACAGACCTAACCATCCAACCCCCAACACTGGGATTGAATCTGGGACCTGGTTAGTGAACGAGCACAATACTCTTCAAACCACCGAGAGAAATTAGGTTTGATGTTCACATAATTCTTTTAGCAAATAAAATCTCCATTTTATTTTTCCTCTTTCAGCAGAGATAGAGCCTACAAGAGAATGGGGGGGGGGGGGCCCCTAACACATTGAATGTACTAAATAGAGATGAGTCGATTGGGGTGTTATCGGTAAATCCAATATTAGATACTATTAGTAAAAACCAATATCGATAAATATTAAACTAACTAGTTATTTAGACATATGTAAACTAAAGGTTATTAAATGTCGTACCTGCAATAATTCGTTCAAGAGAATAATCGAAATCGGAACCAACAATAACCTTTTTACCCTCTCGTGCAGCATGAATAGCAGCTTCATTACATACATTTGCTATATCAGCACCTGTAAATAAAACAACACATAAAGATAAACAGAGATATTGATTTAAAACGGAAAATGTAAAAGATTCATTCCGCAAGACGAGGATTAGTAATTATTGTAGGTCCATTTCAGTAATCATACCCGGTAAAATTTGGGTCAAGTATCAAGCATCCTGACCACTTGCATACTGCAGCCGTCTGCATCATTTAGCTCTATATGAGACAGAGACAGAGAGAGAGGGGGGGAGAGAGAGACACACAGAGAGAGAGACAGACTAGGTCATTTTGGGATGAACATATGGTTCGATTTTTATTTTAATAATTTGCTTGTGCATAGGGCTCTTTAGCAGTGGCAGGAAACTAGAGGACCCAGAGAAAACCCACAAGGTTAGACAGACAATCTCACTCCTTGTCACATGCAAGCAGGGAATCGAAACCATGCCACTTGACTCAATGACAGACTAGTAGACCACCAAACCCCCAACAAAGACAATAAAGATAGGTTGCCATGCAACGAAACATACGCCCACAACAGCTAAATCGTCCGGGCAGTCAACAAGAGTTGTTGCATATTTTTACTTTTTTCTGTAATGAAACATTTATAATACACTAAAATCTGATTAAGAGCAACAACTCATGAAGTAATTATCAGAAAACCATTAGAATTTGTTTGTTTTTATAAAGTTCTGCCCCATGCTAATGTTTGAAAATCAATATACTTGATCGTCTCAAGATCTTAAACTCTGTGTATCAATCTGAAGTCAATCGGATGATAACTTTAGCCTTTAAAGCGTCACAAAGTGATCAAGGGCCATAGCTTTGGCAGTAATTATCGGAAATCGTTGAAAATCAATAGGGTTCTTTATCTCATGACCTTAAACACTGTGTATAAATTTAAATTCAATCGGATATTAACTTTGGCTTTTAGAGCATCCACAAGATTTTTTGAAGTGATCAAGGGCCATAACTCTGGCTGTAATTATTGGAAATCGTTGAAAATCAATAGGATTCTTCGTCTCATGACCTTAAACACTGTGTATAAATTTAAAGTCAATCGGATATTAACTTTGGCCTATAGAGCGTCCAGAAGATTTTTCAAAGTGATCAAGGGCCATAACTCTGGCAGTAATTATCGGAAATCGCTGAAAATCAATAGGCTTCTTCATCTCATGACCTTAAACACTGTGTATAAATTTAAAGTCAATCGGGGGCGTATAAAAATGAGAATATTTGAACTGACCACTCATTCCTGGTGTAAGCTGAGCTAGTCTATAAGACAGTGACTCTGGTTTATTTTGAAGAGTCAGGTTTTTTAAATATAAATCAAACAGTTCTTGTCTTTCAACAAATGTAGGTAAGTCTATGGTAATATGTCGATCAAATCTTCCAGGACGAAGTAAAGCCTGAAATAGATTACATGTATTTGTAAATAAAACTGTTTTAATCTAAATAGTAAGTACAGGGGGACCAACCACACCAAATTTACAAGACAAACCCAAGGACAAATAAACAACAAAAGTATATACCAAATTAAGTGAATCGATCTAGGGGCCAGTTATAAGCAGGATAAGTTTAACTTAACATCAAAATGACAGTGTAAGTTCGTTAGTTATATCTATAAATGTCTTATCATCATTTTGGAGGGCCTGACAAGGACATCCGTCTAGTCATTCGGATGGGACTAAAAACTAAGGTCCAGTGTATACATTGGCATACACGTAAAAAAGATCCCTTGACAGTTGGAATTCGATATAATTTCTCTCATAGCACACTGTATGGCGTATGCCCGTCTTCATTAGCCCAGTCAGAGCAGAACAGTAGGACGTTAAACACCATTTCATTTCATTTCTTATCATCATTTAAAGGATTGTTTATCTTTTAACGAACTACAATACAGTGAAAGGTGAATCTCAAATAGGAATATTAGTACAAGATTACGAGTGGTCTAATTCCATTGTTCAGAATTTACAAAGATGAACTGAAAACCAGCTGACTCAATGACAGACCTTATGATACAGCGTTCACATGCTAACCATTCAACCATCCAACCCCCAAGCTCTGATTAAGTGACAGGTTTGTTTGTAAAATGTTATACCTTGTCTAAAATATCAGCTCTGTTAGTCGACGCTAACATGATGACACCTTCTTGTGTTCCCATTCCATCCATTTCTACCAATAATTGATTTAACGTCTGCTCTCCTTCAGAATTAACACCTCCTACATTACTGAAAATAGACACAGAGAAATGGAGTTTAATGTCCACTCAACACAAACCCTGTCATTTCGAGACTAACATATCTTTTCAGATCCCACAATCATATAGTGTACTTTATAATATGTAAATATTTATTGAATAATAATTTGCTTGCACGTTGGGTCTTTAACAATGGGAGAAACTGATGAACCCGGAGAAAACTCATGAAGGTGGGCCGACTTAATCCAAACCACTGTACTTTACTCAATCTCAGATCTAAAGCACCTGTGTAAGACTACTCGACCACCCAATCTCCTCTACTGCAAAATCACTTGAAAAAACTAGTCATTTCGGGACTAACATATGGTTTAATCTATGTCAATATTTCGCTTGTATGTAGGGGTCTTTAGCAGTTGGAGGAAAGCAGAGAACCCAGATAAAACCCACGAGATTAGACAGGTGACCATGCCACTTGTCTCATTGACAGAACTTATGATCTAATGCACATCATTGGGCCACCCAAACCCCCTCAAGCACAACACGACAGATCATTTAATGAAATGACTGTTGCAAAAAACTAAGCCTTTGTTAACGATGTGCTAGATAAAGGTAAGACAATAAATGAAATAACTAAAGATTCATGACAATCTGATTAAAACACGGATCCTATTTCGTTTTCTTTTTTTATAGTTCAAAATTTTGTTTTATTTGTCTTTACTACACTAGGATCTGAAAATATTGTTATCATTGACGTGCTCTGGATGGTGTGAGGGATTAGCCAATGAAACGATCTGTTACGGTGAGTTTAGTAACATCAATGCTGATTGGTTAACCAAATGTCTGACATCATAGGGTCAAAATCCGCTCGTATGACCACTGACGCGACCTATCGCTACAACGTAAATACCATTTGGTTTAACCAAATGTCTGACATCATAGGGTCAAAAGCCGCTCGTATGACCACTGACGCAACCTATTGCTACAACGTCAATACCGATTGGTTAACCAAATGTCTGACATCATAGAGTCAAAAGCCGCTAGTATGACCACTGACGCGACCTATCGCTACAACGTCAATACCGATTGGTTAACCAAATGTCTGACATCATAGAGTCAAAAGTAGCTCGTATGACCACCGACGCGACCTATCGCTACAACTGGTCAAATCTTCATGTAGTGTAGGCCATCGAAAGTATATTTGAATCAGATTGGGATTTATGACTTGGTGTATGTCTTCTGTAAGTTCATTGATTGTTTACTTACCCCCCACTTCGTTTTTTCCCAACAGCATCAATTTCATCAATATATACAATACATGGTGCTCTCTTCTTAGCTTCTTTAAATAAATCTCTCACTCGAGCAGCTCCTAGGCCTATGATAATAATAGAACACGTTTTTGGTCAGAAATAAACAGTTACAAAATGGTTTCAGGAATTGAATTATACCATGGCCAGCGAGAAAGAGAAATGGAGTTTAATGTCCACGCGATACAAACTAGGTCATTTCAGGACTAACATATGGTTCGATTTTATTTCAATAATTGGTTTGCACGTAGGTATGGTTCTTTAGCATTGAAAGAAAAGCGGATAAAACAATGAGGTTGGACAGACGACCCAAACTCCTTGTCATGTACCAGTGGGGAATCAAAACCATACTACCTGACAATGACAGTCCAGTTTTACTTCCTATCAACCTCCACCCACCCCCATTTTACCTCCTATCAACCTCCACCCACTCTCGTTTTACTTCCCATCAACCACCACCCACCCCCGTTTTACCTCCTATCAACCACATCCACCCTTGTTTTACCTGCTATCAACCTCCACCCATCCCCGTTTTACCTCCTATCAACCTCCACCCACTCTCGTTTTACTTCCCATCAACCACCACCCACCCCCGTTTTACCTCCTATCAACCACCCCCACCCCTGTTCTACCTGCTATCAACCTCCACCCACTCCTGTTTTACCTCCTATCAACCTCCACCCACCCGCCTCCTATCATCCCCATCCACTCAACCCAACAAGTCTGGACATAAGGCACCTGTCACAGACTTAGTCAGAAACAAATTATTACATAACGTATATATTATAATATAGACGTTGTGCTATAATTTTTACTTGACAATGTCTGCAACATGCGCCTCATGTTCAGGCCTGGATCCCAGTTTTACCTCCTATCATCTCTACGAATTCTGATCCTGCCATAGCCAGGAATGGTACCTTAGCTTCTGTTGCCACAGCTTTTGCTAGTAGAGTTTTACCACAACCAGGTGGACCAAGTAATAATGCACCTCGTGGAAGTTTAGCTCCAAGTTCCTGTTAAATAAAAACAAAGGATCTAATTAAACTATTTTAATCAAGAGCAAAGAATTAATTAATGCTTCAGAGAGAGAAATGGGGTTTAACAACCACTCAACACAAACTGGGTTATTTCAGAACTAACATTTCTGTGTGGGGTCTTTAGCTGTCGGAGGAAAGGGAGGTCCCAGAGAAAACCCATGAGGTTAGACAGACCAAATATCTAACATACACACTTTAAACCTTTCTACTACCAACCCCCTCTTGAGGAAGCAGATTGGGGGAGGGGGGGGCTTTCCAGGTGCTAGACGGAGCAGTAGTGGTGGGCGAATCTAGATGCTAGAGGGAGCAGAGTTCTGGGTGGTCCAGGTGCAAGAGGGAGCAGAGTTCAGGGTGGTCTAGATGCTAGAGGGAGCAGTAGTTCAGGGTGGTCTAGATGCTAGAGGGAGCAGTAGTTCAGGGTGGTCTAGATGCTAGAGGGAGCAGAGTTCAGGGTGGTCTAGATGCTAGAGGGAGCAGTAGTTCAGGGTGGTCTAGATGCTAGAGGGAGCAGTAGTTCAGGGTGGTCTAGATGCTAGAGGGAGCAGTAGTTCAGGGTGGTCTAGATGCTAGAGGGAGCAGAGTTCAGGGTGGTCTAGATGCTAGAGGGAGCAGTAGTTCAGGGCGTTTCTTGATGCTAGAGGGAGCAGTAGTTCAGGATGGCCCAGGTGCAAGAGGGAGCGGTAGCTCAGGGTGGTCCAGGTGCTGGATGGAGCATTTACGGAGGGCAGTCCAAATGCTGGAGTGTGGAGTAATTTAGGACAGTTCAGGTGCTAATTTGTTACTCAAAAAACAATTTGTATACTAAAAAAGGCAGAAGAATCAAAATATTTCAGCTTATCCTTTAACTTTCTGACAATGTTTAGCATTATTTCAATTTCATTATGTAAAATAAAACCTAATCTTAAATCATTAATTCTTAACCAGTTCAAGTATTATGAGTTGTAATATTCAGTATTACCTTGAATCTATCTGGAGATTTTAAATAATCTACAAATTCAATGATTTCCTGCTTGGCTTCCTTCAGACCAGCAACTTCTTTAAAACTGATTCCTTTACCTTGCTGTGATAATATATCTACTCTTACAAACCGGGCCTTCTTTACATCAGACTGCAAAAAAAATTGTAATTTTGTCTTATTGAGAGAGAAAGAGATATATGGGGTTTAACGTCCACTTGACACAAAATAGGTCATTCCAGGACTAACTTACGGTTCAATTTTGATTCAATAATTCTTTCCACTGTTCTTCTGATGTAAGAAAATAACGTTTCATCTAATTTGAATGATTATGTTTAAAGGTGTTCCAGCAGATTCAGATTTCAGACTGAATCTCTTGATACAATAAAATAAAAAGAAAAGTGGATTCAACATCCTGATTTTCTGTACCAACCAGACTGTCCAGACTTAGCTACTCTTATAAGGAAGTGTTCCTCTTCTCGTATCCAACAAACAAAAATACTAATGTTATGTTCATAAATACAATTCTCGATGATAAACAACCATAGGAAATGAGAGGGGGGGACGACAACACTCCCTTAAAAGTGTAACTAAAGTTGGACAAGCCGGTAGATCTGTGTAGCTGCTGGATCAAATGACGAGAAAGTAATTAGGTTTTAACATTTTTGGAATGAACATATGGTTCGATTTTTATTTCAATAATTTGCTTGTACATAGGGCTCTTGAGCAGTGGGAGGAAACCGGAGGACCCGGAGAAAACCCACAAGGTTGGACAGGCGACCCTGCATCTTGTCACGTAGAACCGGGGATTCAAAACCAGTTGATTGCTATATGGTCTTTTAACCTGAAATGTTATGGAGATGAATAAACCACCTCTCATTTCAACCCTGTTTTTGTTCTGATGTTGTTTGGTGGTTTATAAATTACATTACTTACAAACATATCGGTTGGACTAGGCATATCAGACATCTTTATACGTTTTGTTAATCTCGGTAACAAGAGCACGAACAGGATGATACCTGGAAGAATCACTAGAGCGTCTGTAGCACTGAAACTAAACACAACACATCAATTTATTAAAGTGTCTGAAACTTCACTGAAATTTCACTGAAATTCACAATAATTTTGCATTTCATTCATGATAATATTATAATATTAAAAATGCACTTTTAATGTCCACTCAACACAAACTAGGTCAATTTGGGAATGATAGGTACAATCGGGAAATTAAAACCACAGCCCTTGACTCACTGACAGTCCTTGACTCACTAACAGCCCTTGACTCATTGACAGCCCTTGACTCATTGATAGCCTTTGACTCACTGACAGCACTTGTCTCACTGACAGCCCTTGTCTCACTGACAGCACTTGTCTCACTGACAGCCCTTGACTCACTGACAGCCCTTGACTCACTAACAGCCCTTGTCTCACTGACAGCCCTTGACTCACGGACAGCCCTTGACTCACTGACAGCACTTGACTCACTGACAGCACTTATGATGTAATCACTCAATATCCATTGTGCCTTTTCAATTTCTTTCCCTCCCATAAAATATACAATATTGGGTATTATTATTGAGTTATTAAATACCAACCTCTTATGAATATCAAGAATTGGTATCTGATCTTCGGGCTTAATTCCAAGCTGCTCTTCACACATCCGGACTTTTCTTTCAAATTCTATGGGATCACTTATTTTCATTTTAAAAAACAGATTCCTATAAATCTGAGACTATAAATAGATAAAAAGACAAGAACAAAATTTTGGTTCTCTGATAATTGTTTAACAAAATCTGATGCGAGAGGGAAATGAAATGAAATAGTGTTCTTTCACGTGGATGCCAATGAGTACATAGGGCCCCAGTTTTTTTATCCCATCCAAACGACTATACGTTGTACCTTGTCCTACATCACGGATCGCGAACTCAACCATCATTTGGGTGTAACGGTGATGTATTCAAACGTTTTTTTAAATCGGATAAAAATTGTTACCTCTAGAGGAAACACAAGCTAAAAACGCAATTTTTCTTATAATCAAGGGTCATAATTCAGGAAGCTACAATCCGATATGCGCATATAAAACATGCATTTTCGATTGGATACATGCCAATACCAAAAGGAACCGAGATCTTTTGGAGATAAACCTATATTTCAAGTTTGGTCAAAATTGGATAAGAATTGTGACCTGTAGAGTGTCTACAAACAAATTACGGACGGACAGTGGCGACGACAATATACGTCCACATGAAAATGTGGGTGTATAATTATAAAAAGAGAAGAGAATTGTCAGCAAATAAGAGTTACCTCCCTTTATGTGTGAATCTTGCTAATATATTCCAGAGCATATTTATTAAAAGATCTAGGGGGTCAATCTCTGCGGTTTCCAACAAGATTTGTCAAATCCCTATTTAAAACAGTCTAATGAGAGGAGAACCGTAAGAAAATAAGAGTTATTTCCCTTTAAGTGTGAATCATATTCAATCATGTACTCCAGACTATATTTATTGATTTTTAACATCAGCCTTGGTGTAATTAACACACAGTAACTACAAAGAGAAAGTCAAGTAGGCAGTTGACCCCATTATGTAAATATTCTACCAATACGCAACATATTAATGTCTACTCCAGCTACCACCAATCAACGTCATCTATTTATAGCATCAAACCATTGATTGGATCACATGTTTCAGCACAGATTTAACTAGGATCTTATAACAGCGTGGTAGGCTGTAGGTGTCGTATAGTTTCAGACCGATCAGGGGAGGTCATTTTGAGACGGAAAATTCATCTATTTGGAATTGTGGGTTAAGATATAGGCAAGCCCGGAAATAGGGCACCTGTTAGACAATGGCCGGAACAAATTCAGGCACAAACCCTCTGGTGCCTGTCATTTTGTCATGCACTGATTTGGCTTTTTTTTATTAATATTAAAGTGGGCATTATGTAAGATTAGATAAAGAGCCGACAGATCCCACTATAATAGTTAAAACATAGATAATGAAAAGGGAATATGTTCAAATTACTTTACTCTGAGGCTAGATATTGGCGATACAATTATAGTCTAGTCTCGATTGTCATTTCTACTGTTGTTATAATAATAAACAAAGTCTTGATTATCCATTTTTATGGTAACCGCATCAACAACAAAACGTATTTAAATCTAGTTCTATCACAGCCATCTGATGACATCAAGAGTTGATTATGGTCTGGATAAGTTAATTGATGTCTAATTAATAATTTAGAAAACATTTCAGGCCTAAAGAAAGACCTGCAATAGGCAGATTTAGCTCTTGCATAATGCCTGTTAAGTTCAAAGTTCAAATTGTCAGGTACAACTGATAGAGTTTCCAGAGATAGGGTTATGATTATCTTCCACTAGCTCTAATCTTTGTGGTATCTAACCTTAAAATAGACTCTCCTTATCCTACAAGGTAATCTACAGAGAGAGAGAGAGAGAGGAGATTAACATCCACTCGACACAAACAATGTCATTTCAGAGAGAGAGAGAAATGGGGTTTAACGTCCACTCGACACAAACTATGTCATTTCAGAGAGAGAGAGAAATGGGGTTTAACGTCCACTCGACACAAACTAGGTCATTTCGGGACTAACATATGGTTTTAATTTTATTAACATAATTCGCTTGCGCGTAGGGGTCTTTAGCAGTGGGAGGAAACCGGAGGACCCGGAGAAAACCCACGAGGTTGGACAGATGTCATTTCAGACTAATACATGGTTCAATTTTATTTCAATAATTCGCTTCCGCGTAGGGGTCTTTAATAGTGGGAGGAAATTGGAGGAACCGTAGAAAACCCACGAGGTTGGACAGGCTTGTTTTTATGTGCACTATTTTATTTAATCACTAGATGGTTCAGTATTTTTGTTCATGTAGTTATTGTTGTCGTCGTAGTAACGAAAATTTCAGCTGAAGTGATTAGTCTGACCAATAAATAGATTCCCAAGAGAATAAGGATGAAATTTACAGCTCACAAAGCCAGCTTTTGTCTTTATGGTAAATCGAATGTGCAGTAGGCAGCTTTTGTCTCCATGGCAAATGAAATGAGTACTAAAGAGACAAAAAGCCCGAATAAATAGCAAACTGAGGATCTAATACCAATAAACATATTGGTCGAAACATAATTCATATCTAATAGCCATTTGAAGTTTACCATGGGATTGATGTCTTACCTGTTTACCTTTAATAACTGCACCATAATGGAGTCTAATAATAGCTAATTCCTGCTTTGGTTTTATGATGATCGTTTCAACCTTAACAATATTAAATAACACAAATCTAAGTTACAGTTATTATATAACATCTTATTCAGGCAACAAAACATATGCTCCGTATTAAGTCAATCGGACGATAACTCAGCCACTAGGGTGTCCACAAGATTTCGCATACTGATCAGGGGCAATAACTATCCATAGTAATTACATAGGATTTTTTGTCTTATGATTTCATACTAATCAGGGGAGATAACTCCACCATTATTTCAAATAAATAGGGTATTTTGTCCTATAAATATAAACTATGTACATCATATTATCAACTATCATTTTGAATCAATACGAATCTTTGTCATAAGAATATAAACTTTGTAAAAATATACCAATCTGATTAAAACATAGATTCTATTTCGTTTCGTTTTTTTTTAGTTCAAACTTTTCTTTTACTTGTCTTTACTACACTAGGATCTGGAAGAGTTGTTATATAACTCGCATTCTGGATGGCATGAGGGATTAGCCAATGAAACGGTCTGTTACGGTGAGTTTTTTGCGTGAGGTGCACGGAAATATGGGTAACCCACTTGAAACAGCAACGTTGATTGGTTAATCAAATGTCTGATGTCATAGGGACCGCAGTCCTGGAAATAACAGTTTTACATGTACCTGACAAAACGTCAGGCACTAATGAAATAGTACCTGACATTTTCAACTTAGTGCCGGACATCTATCTATCTATCTATATATATATTTGTGACTGTCGTCTGTCTGTCTTTCTGTCTGTCTGTCTGTTCGGGGTTGGCGGCTACACTAGGTCTTCCCCGAGTCTGAAATTTGGGGTATAAGGTTACCTCGGACCGGGAAGTAACATAGGCCAGGTGGCGTTAGTCTACCACTTCCGGTTTCGGAGTTATGACCCCCGAGCGAAGCCGGTCTGTTCGGGGTTGGCGGCTACACTAGGTCTGCCCCGAGCGAAGTCTGTCTGTTCGGGGTTGGCGGCTACATCTGCCCCGAGTCTGAAATTTGGGGTATGACCCCCGAGTGAAGCCGGTCTGTTCGGGGGTTGGGGGCTACACTAGGTCTGGCCCGAGTCTGAAATTTGGGGTATAGGGGTAGCTCGGACCAGGGAGTAACATAGGCCAGGTGGCGTTAGTCTACCACTTCCAGTTTCGGAGTTATGACCCCCGAGAGAAGTCTGTCTTTTCGGGGTTGGCGGCTACACTAGGTCTGCCCCGAGTCTGAAATTTGGGGTATAGGAGTGGCTCGGACCGGGGAGTAACATAGGCCAGGTGGCGTTAGTCTACCACTTCCGGTTTCGGAGTTATGACCCCCGAGCGAAGCCGGTCTGTTCGGGGTTGGCGGCTACACTAGGTCTGCCCCAAGTCTGAAATTTGGGGTATAGGGGTAGCTCGGACCGGGGAGTAACATAGACCAGGTGGCGTTAGTCTACCACTTACAGTTTCGGAGTTATGACCCCCGAGCGAAGCCGGGTATCCTGCTAGTATACTAATATTTGTGACTGTCGTTTGTCTGTCTGTTCGGGGTTGGCGGCTACACTAGGTCTGCCCCGAGTCTGAAATTTGGGGTATAGGGGTAGCTCGGACCGGGGAGTAACATAGGCCAGGTGGCGTTAGTCTATCACTTCCGGTTTCGGGGTTATGACCCCTGAGCGAAGTCGGGCATTCTTCTAGTGTATTAATAATATTAATAAAAAATACAAATCAGTGCCGGACAAAATGACAGGCACCAGAGGTTTAGGGCCTGACAAAGCCTGAATCTGTGCCTGACATTGTCAGTGACAGGTGCCTTATTTCCAGGCTTGCATAAGGTCAAATGCCGCTCGTATGACCTCTGACACGACCTTCAACTACAACCAGTCAGATCGTCATGTAGTGTAGTCCATCAAAAGCAAAAAAAAACGAAACAAAATATAGATCTGTATTTTAATCAGATTAAAATATACATTCTATTGGGTGAAGACATCCAGCAAGTAAAAGGGAAAACCATTTCATAATTACCTCCCCCTTCAACAGCATCTCATCGTAGAATTCATCCCAAGATATGAATCTCAAAAGACTTGCATCAGGCGCTGATCGAGGCTGAGGAGAAGTGAGATCCTGCCAGGTTCTGAACAGCATAAATGAGGTCATTGTTAAAGTTGATGCAACCAGACAACCGATAAACACTTCAAAATAAATTTTTAAAATCTATAGACAATTGTCAGAATGGAATGGAGTTTAAGAGAGAGAGAGAGAGAGAGAGAGAGAGAGAGAGGGTTTATCATTCACTTGAAACAAACTAGGCCATTTCTGGAAAAACATATGGTTCAGTTTTATTTTAATAATTTGCTTGCACGTAAGAGTGTTTAGCATTGGGAATAAACCAGAGGAGGGAGGACCCAGACAAAACCCTACTGGACAGGCAACCCTACTCATCGAAACCATGCCACTTGATTAAATGACAAACCACTAGACTATAAATAAAAACACATTTTTCAACTTACGTCTGCCCATAGTCTCTTCCTCCTTTTTCTTCTTTTTTTCATCTTCATTTTCCTTTTCATTCCTTTGATTAAAACGGGTTTGGGATGTACTAAAAGTCCGTCTTCCTGAAAAATAAAAAATTCAAACACTACTGTACAAACACCATCAAAATTATCAAATTACAAACATAAAATTTGAATTGTTGAAGGTGAGGCGGGGGAGCTCCAAATTCTAGACAAACAAAATTTGTGAACAATTGATCGACAAAGTTCTGAAATATGAGCCCTGGTTAAACTAGAATAACTTCATACAATATCTCAAGGTGACAAAATTCAGTTATATCCCAAAAATTAAAGAAGATATAATTTGTTGGAAAATGAAATGAAATGAAATAGGGTTTAGTGTCCAGGTGCCACCAGGCTAATTAAGATGGCATACGCCATACAGTGAGCTATTAGGGAAATTTAGGCCAGGCAGCAGTGCTAGGACCTACTCTTATCTTGAATGCCAACAGCCAAGGGTTCTTTTATGCGCATGCCATCTTGTTTTTTAATCCCATCCGAACAACTATACATTGTCCCTTGCCAGGCCCTCTGTCCTGAATCTCTGACAATGGGAAACAACGCTGGAAAATCCCAATAAACCTTCTCAGCCAACACCAAGATGGATCAATTGACCTCCAAATTAGCGTGCCAATGTATTACTCACTGAGGCACCACAGCTACCTATAATTTGTTGGAATAGTCTTGCACAATAGAAAAGGTTTTACACCAAATGTCATTTTACACAATATTTAAAGTGGCATTATGTAAGATTTTGATAAAGAGCTGACAGTTCTCAGTATAATAGTTCAAAAATAGATAATGTAAAGGGAATATTTTGAAAATTTCAGTAAAACAAGTCCACTCTAAGCAGAGATATAAACAATACAATTATAGTGTAGCCTCAATTGTCATTGCTACCGTTGTTACGATAATAAATGAAGTCTGGATTATCCATTTTTATGGCTAATCATCAATCACTGTTGAACCACAGATCGGATATAAATCTGTTTAAAATCTAGACGATACAATGGCATCGAGAGTTGACTATAGTCTTGGTAAGTTAATTAAACATACATTATGTAAGAGCTAAATCTGCCTATTGCAGGTCTTTCTTTACATTATCTAGTTTTTAACTATTATAGTGAGAACTGCCAACTCGTTATCTAATCTCCCATAATGTATCTTTAAGGTCTAAATAATAAAGAAAGGCAGAAATAGCTCTTGTATAATGCCTGTTTAAAGAGTGTATTTTTATTTTATTGTTGTGACCTTGTATAAGATCTAATTCTCTTACACCCTGATATGACATGATTTATCTCAGGTCTGACTTTCCTTATAAGGAGCATATTATAAATCATTAAAGTCCCACTACCATTTGAGTAACTTCAAGTCAGCAAAGTTAACACTGGCAGAAAACCTTGAGGTTTGGACAGACGACCCTACTCCTTGTCATGTACAAGTAAGGAATCGAAATCATGCCACTTGACTCAATATGACAGTCCTTGCGATCAAACGCACCCCCACCCCCATTGTCCATAAGGATGTGTGCATTTAAAGAATATGTATATATGTATATATATTTTATCTTGTAACCTTGTACAGTACCTATGTCAGGTATATGAGTTTATCTATATATCTTGTGTCAAGTGATAAATGAAATGGGGTTTAACGTCCTACTGCACCAACTAGGCTAATGAAGACAGGCATGAGGCATACAGTGTGCTATGAAGGAATTCTTGTCCGAACAGTGGACCTAGCACATACTTTTAGATCGAATTCCAACTGTCAAAGGTTCTATTACTTGCACGCAAATGTGTACAAAGGACCTCAGATTTTCCTCTCATTTGTATGACTATACGTTGTCCCTTAGCAGGCCCTCAGTCCTACACCACTGACAAGGGGAAACCATGACAGTAAATCCTGATAAAATTTCTCAGTCATCACTGGGATCGAACATGGGGCCTCCACATTAGTGAGCTGAGCCAGCCTCTCACTCACTGAGCCACCATGGCTCCATCAATTGAAAATAACATCTGTAAATCTATATGATCAAGTGATAACAGCGTATGTACGTAAGACAGAATAAGCCTTTAAAGATGTTAAATCTGCCTATTGTAGGTCTGTTTTCTGTTTTCAAATTGATTATTTAGATATTTATTCACATGACAAGCCTATAATTAACTCTCTACATCATCGGAATGGCCGAGATTTGAATGGATTTGAACATCGCAAGATTAAAAATAGCCAAAGGTTCTGTCCATTCATAGCCAAAAATTCTGTCCATCAATAGTCGGAAAATTCGGTCCATCAATAGCCAAAGATTTTGTCCATTCATTGATAAAGATTCGGTCAATTCATAGATAAAGATTTTGTCCATTCATAGATAAAGATTTTGTCCATTTATAGATAAAGATACGGTCCATCAATAGCCAAAGATTCGGTCCATTCATAGATAAAGATTTGGTCCATCAATAGCCAAAGATTTGGTCCATTCATACATGTAGACAAAGATTTGGTCCATCAATAGCCGAAGATTCGGTCCAACAGAAGAAAGCATAATGTCACAATCAATGATGACAGAGCAAAAATTGCTTCATTAGTTGGTTATCGTGTACTATTGATAATAGTTTTATAACAAATAAAAAATAGGTCTGCCTCTGGCAAATCAACATTTCTTACTTCATATTATTCATAACAGATTATTTGACTGTTATTGATTATGATAGCCAATGAGTAACAATACTGTTTTTACTTGCAGGTCATGGGACCTAAGGTTGGGCTAAGTTTGATGCAACACACGAATTTATTGAGTTTCAAGGCAGATGTGACATCAATGATTAAACAATACATGAGAAGGAGAGAGAGAGAGAGAGAAATGGGGTTTAACGTCCACTCGACACAAACTAGGTCATTTCGGGACTAACATATGGTTTAATTTTATTTACATAATTCGCTTGAGCGTAGGGGTCTTTAGCAGTGGGAGGAAACCGGAGGACCCGGAGAAAACCCACGAGGTTGGACAGGCGACCCTACTCCTTGTCACATGAGAAGGAGGAGAAATAAGTTTAACATTCCCAACAATCAGGTCATTTTGTGACAAACACGTGGTAGCTTAATTTTATATTTAGCAATTTGCGTATAGATCATTATAAGTGGTTAAGACAGGTTACTCTTCTCCTGGTCATGGACAACCGCAGAATCAAAACCATGATTGCATTGAGGTAACAGGCACCAGACCACTTGGATAAATAAAAATAAAATGAAATGGGGTTTCACATCCTACTTTTCTGCAACAACTGGGTTAATGAAGACGTGCATACGCCATACAGTGTGCTATAGGGAAATTTTGTCCGGACATCAGCACTTCGATCTACTTTCATATTGAATTCCAACTGTCAAGTGTTCTTTTAAGTGCACATAGGATCTCGGTTTTGTCAGATTCTCCGGTCTGCACCGCTGACAAGAGGTGAAACCACACCAGAAAATCCAGAGTTAATTTCTAGACCAACATTTCAAATTAAATCCCAATCAATAAACATAAGCAGATCTGGATGTATCTGAACTAGAACCTGATATGTGTCGGACAAAGACGGACATATAATATAAATATCGGTAAAAAAATTGAACAAAGACAAATCTGTGTTGGACACAAAGGCAGGCACCAGAGGGTTGGTACCTGGTATTGAGGCAAGCATTGTTGACAGATGCCTAATTTCCTGTCTTGTGGATCCATGGTGGTTCAGTTAGTAAGATGTTGGCTCGCTAAAAGTTCATCAGGATTCTCCGGTGCAGAAACGAAGACCTGCCAATGGAGAGAGAGAGAGAGAGAGAGAGAGAGAGTTTAACCTTCACTCTACACAAACTAGGTCATTTTGGGACTAACACATGGTTCATTTTTATTTCAATAATTCGCTTGCGCATAGGGGTCTTTAGCAGTGTGAGGAAACCAGAGGACCCGGAGAAAACCCACGAGGTTGGCACGTACAACCGGGGATTCGAAACCACACCAGTTGACTCAATGACAGACCTTATGATACCATTCGGCCATCCAACCCTCCCACCTGGCAATGGACAATTGTATTGGCAGGTGTATCACACACATATATATTAATTAAGTTAGTTATTAAGACACCACATCAATATTTTTAGATTATATCATATTATTGCCTGTTTTAATGAAGGCTACTAATATATACTTATTATATTAATGGCTGTTAAATACTAATAAAATAAGGTTGTTGATAACACCTTGATCATTATATATGACCTCTGGTTCAAAGTATATCACATAACGCAGACTACATAATGCAGACTGCTATGGAGACAGATGTGCAAGACAAAACGAGGGCATGTGACCATGGAAGCAGCCGTCAATCAGGGCTACAGCCATAATGACTACAATCTTTTGTTATATGTTATGTTCCTGTGTGCTGTATTGGTTGTTAGAACTAGAGATGTTATGAGAGAGAGAAATGGGGTTTAACGTCCACTCGACACAAACTAGGTCATTCCAGGACTAACACATGGTTTATTTTGATTTCAATAATTTTCTTGCGCATAGGGGTCTTTAGCTGTTGGAGAAAACCGGAAGAGATGTTATGACTTTTAATGTTTGTTCCTGCATTGGTGAAATAAAGAAGTTAAATCCACATTCATCGTTATCATTAGATCCTTTGTTACACAATGTACAGTCATTTCCATGGGTTAAAAAACTGCAGTTTCGTGTACACATTGGTAGCTGCCGCTGTCTTGGCAAAATTTCCCTCATAGCACACATGGGTGTGCACGTAAAAGATCCTGGCAGTTGGAATTTGATATAAGAGTAAGCTGTACTAGCACCGCTGTCAGGGCAAAATTTCCCTCATAGCACACTGTACGGCGTATGCCCGTTTTCATTAGCCCAGTAGGAGTAGAACAGGCTTGAATATTAGGATAAATTCAGAAAGAAATCCTAGTAAAAATATCAATTCAAAGAAAATACTTTTATTCAGGTTAAAATACATGTGAGAAACAGGCTTCCCTCATTCAAGACTTGTACGGTGGTTCTAATGGAAACCATACATTGCTAGAAAAAAATCATC